ACAATTATTTTTGGGGGTGGGTACGAAGACTTTTTGAAACTGTACAATGTGTGGTTCCAGAAAATATCCATACCCTTACCACGGAGGGAATTGGGAATTCCGGAGGGGTGGAGGTGTCAAAGACCTAAGAAATTCCAGAGGGGAGGGGGTAGGATGGTCACTTTAGTTTCCAGATGCCCTTCGATTCAATACGGATTCAAGTGTCTATCTAGCTGTTCAAAAATCCTTTCTTACCTACAAAGTAGATCTTTCACATGAAAAGAATAGTAGCTTGAACACTTGTATTTGAATAGCATTATATTTGAAATAAATTTTCTTTCTTCAAAAAGGACTTTGGAAGCTAACAAATGTGAAAATGGCTGTCATTACTTGCTACCAGTCTACATGGAGTCATCTTGTGGACCAAAAAGCACTGGTGACTATCGCAGTTTGTTTTCACATCAGTGTTTGAAGCTGTCGAGTGGCAGTCGATTTCTTTTGTGAAATTAGTTTCTTAATAAAGGTAGAAATGATGTTAAGATTTCACAAACTTGAGAATTTCTTATTCTTGTTTATCTCTCTCCATTTGTATGTAATTTTGTTGTAAAAATTGGGTTTTGTTGCAAGTGTGTTAGCGATCGTTTTCACGATAAAAGTATGTAAAAGTATAGTGTCAATTTCATCCACACTCATCTTATCAGTCCTTTAACCGAAACCGTATCACATTTACAAACTTAAGGGTACTATTTTATCCATTTTCTTACACTTCCTTACCAAAACTATTTTTTTCCAGAGGGTATAGGGGGTGTACATATACTTGTGGACATTCCAGAGGTGTTGGGGGGGGNCTAGCCAAAACAGTTTTTTCCAGAGGGTATGGGGGGCATGCATAATACTCGTGGAAATTCCAGAGGGGTGAGGGGTTATTTTTGTGTTCAAAGAATGGAAATTCTGGGGAGGAGGGAGGGGTTTGTGTGAAATTCCCTCTGTGGTGGGGGTATGGATATTTTCTAGAACTACACAATGCGATATAGTGTACAACACACATATATATACTCTGTACTAAGTTCAAATATTAATTTGTAAACTTAAACTATCGACTGACCAAGTTGTTTTTAGCTTCAAACTCCACAAGCATACCTCGCTCCTGCTACCATAACTGTTCCTGATTGGTTAAAGTAGATGTGATTGACAGGTGCAGTAAATCTGGTAAGAATTCCATCAGGAGATCCCTGATATTAAAACAAATTAAAACAACTCTTGTCAGAAGAAAGTACCAGCAAAATGGTCAATTTTTTTCGTTATAATTCAACCAGGGGTTTCACTAATGGCCGTACAATGGCCACACAACAGGCAATTGACTGGCTGCGAGGATGGTTTTGCCCACTTCTTTTGACCATCTAAAGAAATGTTTTTCCCATAAAGAAGTTTCCTTCAAAAACTTCTATCCGCCACTGAAAACCAGTTGTCCTTCTGCTGAATAGGCTAATGAAACCACTGTTTAACTTGGACTTCAGATCTTCTTACAACCTAATAAATTTTACCACCAAGTTTTTTCACATTTTTGGACGGGAATTGCTATGATAATTTCAAAAATGAAAATAACAATCATTGCAATAGCATTTCTTTAACTGTGTTTAAGTCTCTTAAATTAATAAGGATTTAACACATGGATATTTACCTCTGGGAAGGTAAATGCCTGGACAGAATTGTCACATGCCGTCACTATTTTCTTATTCTGTGTGAGAAAAAAGATGTTAGTGTGCATCACAATAAGCATTACTCAGTAATTTAACAAGTGGGTGGAATATTGTCCATAAAAATTTCCGAGGGCTTGAAAAGGTCATCTATCAGCTAAATTTAAAAAAAAAAATTAAACTAAGATAGGGTTCCAGATAACTTTTCAATGCAATGCAGGGTGCCAATAAAGAACTCCAGTGGGTCAATTCCTGCTGTTCCCTCCAAATCGTTATAAATTTTTCTATTAACTTGTCGGGTCATGTAGCTGACTTTGTTGGGTTTTCAAAAAATTTAACCTAGGTTGAAACAATTTTGACCTGAAATACATTTTATATAAACTACAACACACACAATCCAATCTACACTCACCTTAACTGCTAGAACTGTGACATTATCCCCAACTCTAACAGATTCTGGATCACTGTCGTCAAAATCTTTATAAATACGCACATCTCCATCTGATCCACAAGTCAAGAGATAGCTATTCCAAAACAGCACAAATAATTATGTACATTTACATAATTTATGCATGTTTAAAAGTTGATTTGCTTTCACTGTGGACTTGGTGAAAGAAACTATCACAACTTGAATGCCACAGTTAGTATGGGGCAAATCAAGGCATTCACCTTGGTGATTTTTTTTTTTTTTTTTTTTTTTTTGAAGGAAGAAAACAAAACACTGCTAAACAACTAGAAAGAGAATTAAACCACGGATATTGCCTCGGTCAAAACTTTTTGCTGGCTACGGGCCTGATGTGCAAAGATCTAGCATCTAATTTTCTCTTCATAGAATCTTGACCTCACTACGTTTGGTCTGTACTCACAACCTCGGTCAAGATTCTCCCATACGGACCTCCCGTTCGGTTAATAAGAGCTAATTTTAAAATCATCTCAAGAGCTCTAAAAAGCACAGGCGTTGTAACTAATCGATACCAATCGATGTAAATTAAACTTATTACAAAGCTTATTATCGATTGATATCGATTGCTCAATTTAATTTCCGATCATCGATTTGTCGGACCGGGCTTCGAATAACAATTTTGGAAATGATAAATTTCAAGTGCTCTAGCTTCGCGGCTTATGGAGAAGATCCGACATTTTACATTCACCTTTCATAAACTGATCGAACGATTGAACATAGCTCTTCAAGTGAATGCAGGGTGAAAATATTTGAATCAGGCCCCCATAAATGATCCGACATATTCATCCGACGCTGCAGCCAGTGTGATTTATAAATCGTATTTTAGACCAGGCAAGAGGTTACAAAACAACACAAGTGCACGCCATTGAACTAAGCTAAAAAATTCGTTCAACTTACTCGCCCTTTTCGTCGTAACAGACATCTGTATGTCCCTCACTGTGAGCAAATCGCATAGGTTTTCGATCGGTCGACATTTTGGCTCTTTAAAGGTCCTAACGGGTGAAATTGAGCAATGTTTTCCTTGAATTTCGAAGTTCTCTTACCGCGCTCATTCGCACAACTTTCCCGCCACTTGGAAATATAGGACCGAACGGAGTTCTGGTATAGCTCGGTTCAGTTTCCCTCCGTCTGACTTTTTCCCGGGCGAAAAAAAGGTTCTACGTTTCTTTTGGGATATACAGCGGAACCTCGATATAACGAAGCGCTAAGGGACTGGAAAAATATGTTCGCTATAGCGAGATTTCGTTGTATCGAGGTTCTTTTCCATACATTTTATTATTACTGGGGCCAGAAAAACAGACTTAATAAAGATAAAGTGAAAAACCGAATGAAAATATCTTTCCCAGCCCCTCCCGCCACCCAATCTTCGATCAAGCACAAATAATTCAAACTGAGGTAGCATAGCTAGACTTATTACAAGATTTGAAGAAAACATGTCGGCAAAGAAGTGCATAGCCTTTGTGACAATGTAAAATTAATAACGACTGCAAGGAGAGTAGAGTATTGGAAAACCAGTTCAGATTCGCAAAAGTGTAAAAGAGAAATCACAGAGGGAACCGGAAAACAAGCGAATATGAAAGTCCTACTCTGCCTATCACTTGAATTGGACGACGTCTGAGTAAATCAGGGGGGACCCAGGAACCCCTGAAAGGGAGAGGGGTTTGCACTTTCGATCCTATTGGCGTGGACGGTCGTGGATGGCGAACGCGGGCCGCGTTCGTGAGTTTCTAAAGGGGTCCGGGATCATCCCTCACAGGAAAATTTTTTCGATTTTACCCTCTAAAACGCCATTTCAAACGTCTCTGACTCTTGAAAAGCGTTTGTGGAGGGATGATATAAAATCTTGAGTTTATCTTACTTCTCAACCAGAAATATAAAAATAATAATGTAGTCGTGAAATGTACATTATCTTTTTCTCAACTTGACAATCAGTCAATTGGTGGAAGTTAAAAACTACGTATAAAACAACTTTATTCCATTGTTTCTATGAAAGGTCAAAGAGATGACAAAAAATTACTGCAGAGAGGAAGAGGGGTGCAACCCTCCCCAGTCCCTCCCCTGGATCCTCCTCTAGAGCTAAATGCCATTGCCACTGGTTTTAGGAAGATACAAGGCTGGGTACTAAGTTGAGCATTCCGGGGGGGGGGGAATCTTTATTCCTCTTTTTTTTTTTCTTAACTCAGTTTATTGAGTAAGATGGCGCTTTCGAAAAAGGGTAACGTTGCATTAAGATTTAAAATACACAAGATGCGTGATCACTTTTAGTAAAATGAACATGTGTCAATTAATGTTTTAATGCAAACATATGGACACAAAGAAATCTTTTTTAAAAATACGGATTTTTCGAGATAACTCTTAACCATTCAACTCCCAAGAGTAATCAATATTTAATTTATCTTTATAACACCGGTTTCTTATCAAACAGAGAGATAACCAAAACGAATTAAGAAATTAAATAATTTGGCCAAGTCTGGACGAATATCAAACTCTCTGAACTGGAATGACTTTTGATAGGTCCGCAACAAGTGCTGAGTGATTTCCACTCTACTGTTAACCGCGTTAGGCGCCAATCCCCGTACTTAGTAATATCCCGCGGGGGGAGGGGGAATCCTATAGGAAAAGGTCGTGGATACTCGTCGGAAAATTTGAACTCTAAAAGCTAACGGCAAAAAATGGTGGTGTCTTCTTCCTGAACATCGTAAGTGAGATCAGAATCCGTGTTTTACCCCCCTTAAGCGAAACGACGAGCATCCTCGACCTTTCCACATGGGAGACCTCCCCCGTGGGTACTACCTACGTTAAAAATACTTCGAATGGCAAAATAACAAATTCTCTACGGATAAAAAACACTGTCCCTCCAAATAACATGAAGGCATGTCAGACGACTATATTTTAGCGAAATTCGTGTACAAGTCAATAACGGCAATAGTTTTGTCCTCTTTAGGCCAAAGTTCTTTGTCCCTAATGGCTAATTAACAGTGCATATCTTTGTAGAATTCCTCCAACGTCCTGCGCTGTTGTAATCACTAATTCAAGGAGAAAAGCATTGAATTGTTTTGTTTTATAGACAAGTATAAGCGTTTGTCTTCGCTAACTCATCCGGGAAATAGAATGCAGGTCGACGGACTTCGGACTTTGACCTTTGTTTAGTGGTGGACGATTTGGTCTCGTCTTTTACCGCTAAGGAGCGAACTGACATTGTCTGTAAAGAAATAAGAAAAAATATACACCAATTAGCGTGGCCATACATTGTAAAGTCTAATTTCGCAACTTTGTCGTAAAAACTTAGACTACAAGTAGTCCCTCTTTCACTTAGTCTGTTGCGCGAGACCGTAAATAATCCATGAGGTAAAAATGG